CCGTATTGGCATTCATGTATGTAACACTGTGAGTATAATAGTCAGATATTTTTTAACAGACAAAAGAGGTAACTGGTAGGTTATGTACAGCTGGCATATCAATCACCTCCAGTCAAAGCATAGTCAATTTTAACAAGGAATTCTCTGCTAAAAAAATGGTCTCTTGATTGATTGTGAGTTTGTAACTGCTGTGATGGCGCAGCTGGAATTGCCAGACAGGATAATTTTATACCGAACCTACCTAATTACCAAGCACTGAAATTTTAGAAAGAAAATTGGGTTCAAAATACATGACCCTACACTCTGTACACGTTAAGTGTTTTCCCACACCCTTCAGTGCGTAGGTTGCTCAATTGTAAATACATCGTACATGTAGATTGTTAATGCTTCATGGACTATGAACTCTGACCATGCATAAAAAAAGCACATGTAAATACTGTAGGATTATTATGAATGCTAGGCAACTGCTGCGTTGCACTGTTGGCATTGTGATAACTATTAATAGCTCCCTCTTGTGTGGGAAAAAAAAAACCTGCCACATGACCCCACACGGCGGGAAGGTGATCCCATCAATAGCAATTCCTTTCCCGCCAGTACAGGCCACGTGAGAGGGCTTCCCTAACAGCAATTGCATATTATTTTCTTGAACTGAAATCGGACAGGATTTCTGCCTATGAATTTCATACATTTTTTTATCATAAAGTTAACAGTGTATAGAAGTGAAATTAATGGCATGACATTATTGAAAATGCCATGACAACTTTGATAGATCTATATTGGGTGAATGGGGAAAAAACATGTTTTGAAGTGCGTTGTTGTAACACACTTTCACATAAACTTTACACTTGTGATGAAAAAATTTAGGCTCGGCAGGTTTAGATTGAATGATGACACAATTCGTGCTGAAATGGGTCCATACAAAATACATTTAGGTTCATTTTTTTGTCTCTCTTGTGATTCTGATTAAAAATGCAATCTGTCCTACGCCTTTGCATAATGCGGACCAGGCACACTTTTAGCAGGGGATTTTTTTTACGACTAGGGCATACGAGCTGTGCTTTTGTATGCATTGCAAGTGAGGCCAGAACAATTTTCCTGATTTATAGTTGCATTGAGGACCTTTGTCAAGTTTGTTGCCCCACAGGAAGCATGCTACCCAACAATAAAAAAAATGTTTATATATTTCACTTACCCTTTGTAGCATGGCCTTTGGTCGCGGTCTCTTAGGAAACACGCATTGACGGCTTCCGCCATTGTGTGTTGGTGAGATCACACGTTGCTATACATTGTATGCGCACTCTGACCCTATGGCATTAGGAATCAATTCATATTCATATTCATTACGTTGCGCATGTCAGGCATGCGTGTTCAGAAGAGTGCAAGTGACGTGAGTCACATGACGATCAAACATCAGGACTTCCTCGGATGAATGATCGTCAAATGTAGCGCCCCCGTACGTTGACCTATACACACAATGACCTTTCTCAGCAGAAATATTTGTCCCAGTACTGCACAAATGCTTGTCAAGAAAGGATATAGTGAAACATTTCGGCAGTTTGGGTTCAGTGTGGGCAGCATTTGTTTGTGGGGTTCAGGTGTTTTTGGATTGAGCAAAAATGGTGGACAGGATGACAGTGTGGATCAGGTGGATGCTGTACCATTTTACAGCAGCAGCAGTGACAGTGAGGATGATGTATGTATACCATGGCACAGTTAGCTGCCATTTTTATTTTCAGATGACGTGGAGGCCATAATAGAATTTTTTTTTTGTCTGTCCTTGAGCTTGGTTCTGACATTTTCATGGCAGCAAATGACTGTATGTACTCTTAGGTCTTTCATTATTAATGTGATGAGTTTATTGAAATGCATTGAACAAAATCAAACTTAGAAATTTACATGTATGTGCATATATGCAACCTAAAACATGTAAAATGTCAACCAAACATCAGGAACTTTTTGGTGATGAACAAGACAATGAAGTTTTAAGTTTCATTAGTTACAATTTTTGTCATTGTCGTATGTCCGATCTTGGAAATGTTTTGGAATATTGAGTGACAATGCAGCGGTGTCCAGTTGATTCATTGCCTTAATCTTTGAATTGTGCTTTGTTCATTCATTAACAATGAAAGCACAAGAGTTTACTCATTGAACAAAGCACTCGCCTCAGACATGGCTACAGTGCAAACAATCTATACTTAGTTTATTTTGGTTTTGTACAGACAACATTAATTTTTGAATATTTGTCAATTTGTTTTTTGTCTGACAATTTTCTTTTCTCTGTCTCTCTCTGTTTCTGTTGTGGATTTGTTTAGGTCGTCGCAAGCGGCTTGGAGGAACACATGAACAAGAACGTGATGGAGCACAACCGGATGATCGTTGACGCTATCGGCTCAAGTCCCCTGCCCAAGGACAAAAATGGCGGAGCGCAGCCGTTGGACAACAGCTTGGAAGAGGTTATCAAAATCAAAGGGTTTTCCCACTCTGTCTGAGACAACACTCCAAGATCTGGTCGCGATGGTGAAGGAGCACGTCCTCAAAGCTGTGGATCTAACGGAGACCAAAATGAGAAAAAGCGGTGCTCATGGGTCCGTTGACGTCGCTGCCTTGCAGAACGAGATCACAAATCTTCGTAAAGAGATGAAGAAACAGAAAACGGACTTGGAGAAAGCCCTAGCAACCAAGCTGGAGAGAGAGTTGGCCGAGAAGATTAAAAACACAACGCCATGATCGCGGTCCTGGATCAACGCACTGAGACCTACCAACAGGTCCTGCCGTCCTCAGTAATGAGTTGGAGGCATTGCATGCTAAGGCCATGGCCCTTGAGAAGCAGAACACCTACCTGAAGGAGGTCACCGAGAGGCAGGAGAAGCGGCTTCAGTCCCAGGTAAGGATGTGATTTTGCGTTTAATTTTGTTGAACATTTAGCAAATATTTTGAGAATCGTTTGACTGTTGTGTATCAGCAGACCGTCGTGAGTGACATTAAAAATCAACAATATTGACGTGATAAATAGCGGGCAGTCACTGAAAAAGTACAATCTACACTGTGTGTACCCAGAATGTAATCAAGTACTGCAGTACTTCTGAGGATTTGTAAAATTGAAGAGACTTGAAAATGTTAAGTATTTTGCTATGAATGTGTTAGCTCAAAAGGAAGAATGTGTGAACGTAGATGTAGGTCCTTTTTTATGCCCCACGGCGAAGCCGAAGGGGCATACTGTTTCCGCCTTGTCCTTCCGTGGGTGGGTGGGTGGGTGTTGGTGAGTTTGTCTTACATACGCAGTGTGGACTTCCGAACAAAAGACGTCCACATAATGTAGGTAGCACCGACGTTGTGTGGACTTACCCCACGTCCACACAGTGTTTTTCCCATTTCTGGAAAACAGGTTTAGAGGCATTTTTGGGTTAGGTTTATCTGTAGCAGAATGAAGAGAAACACTAAAGGGAATCATAGAAAAAAATTGGTTGAAAGAGTTTTCACAGTTTGAGAAAAATGAGTTTTTTCACTGGTTTTTTCTTAACTACACGAAAGCAATGGAAAGTCCACACTAGTCATGTGAAACAAGTATGGGTGCGTGGGTGTGTGTGTGTGTCCGGACAAATCTTGTCAGCGCGATAACTTGAGAAATACTTAACATATGAACTTCAAATTTGGTTGTGGATTGTCCTTGGTAATCCTAAGAAGCCTTTTGCATTTGGGGCGAAAGGTCAAGGGTCAAGGTCACAGTGGCTGAAACAATAGAAATGTTGTCAGCGCGATAACTTGAGAAATACTTTACATATGAACTTCAAATTTGGTTTGTGGATTGTCCTTGGCAATCCTAAGAAGCCTTTTGCATTTGGGGCCAAAAGGTCAAGGGTCAAGGTCACAGTGGCAAAAACTTAAGAAATTTGTCAGCGTGATAACTTGAGATACACTTTACATATGAACTTCAAATTCGGTTTGTGGATTGTCCTTGGCAATCCTAAGAAGCCTATTGCATTTGGGACAAGGGGTCAAGGTCCACAGTGGCTAAAACAAAAGAAATTTTGTCAGCGCGATAACTTGAGAAATACTTTACATGTGAACTTCAAATTTGGTTTGTGGATCTTGGTTATCCAAATAGGCCTATCGCATTGGGGGTCGAAAGATCAAGGGTCAGGTCACAGTGGTTAAAACAATAGAAATCTTGTATTTGTTCTGAGATCATAGGGATTAGGGATTAATTCATAAAAACCTACAGAAGACACTAATGCTGTCAATGAATGTTCCATGTGACCAAGGTACATGTAAGTTGATGTTAAAAGAGTGGTGTTATGTCATGGAAACAGTCATGGTTGCGGGGCATTTGTGTTTGTAAACACACCTGACTTGTTATGATTCAAGTTTTGTTTAAGGGTAAGTCCAAGAAAAGGTCCCCTTTTTGTGCGTAACGCCATGTTTTCGTTAATTACATATCATCCCAAAGACTAATGCATATAGTCCTTGTGGGTATTCTCCTTGCAGATGCCCAACAGTAGAATAAAAAACGCTGAAATCCAGCTCTGGTTTAAACTTTTGTTATGTATGGGATGTAACATACACAAATTCTTGGACTCGCCCTTAACTTTAACCCCTTGGGCTCTTTTACTAGAAAGTATCCTGAATCCGCCAAAATCCATCAATTTGGCCCTGCAAAAAAATGTTGGTGGCCATGAGTCCATCAGAATCCACCAGTGAGGTGGGAGTAAATCGGTTGAGATCCTGAATCCATCAAAGTCCCCCAACTGCTCAATATGGAGGTATCCTGAATCCATCAAAGTCCTGCAGTTCTGCTGGGCTTACAATCCTGAATCCATCAAAATCCCCCAGTTTGTGCAATATGGAGGTATCCTGAATCCGCCAAAATCCCACGAAACAGGGGTGTGGATTTTGATGGTTCAGGTATGTTGAGGTTAATTGTTTTGAAAAATTTGCAAATGGATTAAGATTTGTGGAAATGTTTAAACATGTAAAGGGTCCATTCTTCTCCCCAGGATCAGATGCTGACATTGAAGAACATCGCCCTCGCTGAACAGGAGCTACGCATCCAGGCTCTGGAGGCCTCCTCCTTTGACGGTGTCCTGCTGTGGCGTATCATCGAGTACAATCGCCGTCGTCAGGATGCCGTCTCCGGCAAGACAACATCCTTCTACTCCCCGGTCTTCTACACCAGCCGACACGGCTACAAGATGTCAGCCAGGTGTACCTGAACGGCGACGGTATGGGGAAGCACACCCACATGTCGCTGTTCTTCGTGGTCATGCGGGGGCGCCATGACGCCCTCCTGCCGTGGCCCTTTCCAGCAGAAGGTCCCTTCATGCTCCTGGATCAGAACAAGCGGGATCACATTGTGGATGCCTTCCGTCCGGATCCTACCAGCAACTCCTTCAAAAAGCAAGCAGCGACATGAACATCGCCTCCGGATGCCCACTCTTTGTGACCCAGGAGCTGCTGATGGCCAGCAACAGCTACGTCAAGGACGACACAATGTTCATCAAGGTTGTTGTTGATACAACTGGTCTTGAAAAGCTGTGAGAACACTTTTATTGGGGGATACACTGAATCTGTGACAATCCGCACGGACTATACATTGGTCAACTCCTGCCTACATGTACGCATTTTGAAGTGTGAATCTGCGATTATTTTGGATTAACAGTTGAAGTTCATGAAATTGTGTTGACCTAAATTAAAGGTATGTTTGTTAATAACCATACATACAACCTTTCCAAATCCTTCAAAATATTCTTTGTAAAATGGAGGATTTTGCAGGAATGAGGCTATATGTCAAAAAATGTGTGGCTGATTTTGGAGGATGCACTGTGTCAAGGTCTTGGGCCGGACCTGTATGTTTGTGCTCAGCCGTGCATAAAATCAATTATACTTGAAATCCTCCACCTGCTCCAGGATGTCACTGGCTCTGCCTCGTCAACATATTGACAGTGATTGCTGGATGATTTGCAGATTGAGGCAGTGGCCACCCCTCCCCGGACCACATTTAAAAAAAATAATGGATGATCTTGGATCAACCCAGAACAGACTGGACACACCGACAATGATGACGATTGAATATTCAGTTGACAATACCTTCTAGCACTGTACATTTGAGATGTTGAAGAAACCACAATATTTTTTTATGCATTGATGATTGGTCACCGCGCGCTGTTCCCGGACATACAACGTTTGTAGCGTAGACTGACACGACACAAAAACGTATTCGTACCCCGTCGTGTCTGATGTAACAAGCGGGTTTTTTT